ATGCCTTTGTCCATTTTAAGAACCTTGTGGAAAACCAACTTAGTCTTAAAATCAAAGCTGTCCAGAGTGATGGAGGTGGGGAATTTGTTGCTCTTACTAAACTCTTTAATGAGTCTGGCATTGCTCACAGAATATCATGTCCTTATACCCCCTCTCAAAATGGCTTAGCTGAAAGAAGACATAGAACCATAGTAGAAATGGGACTTTCTTTGATTTCTCACTCACAAATCCCTCTCAAATATTGGGATGATGCTTTCAATACTGCAGTTTTCATTCTTAATAGACTTCCAACCAAAACCTTAAACTACATGACACCCTTGGAAAAACTGTATGGTCATAAACCCAATTACAGTGTCCTAAAAGTTTTTGGATGCCTGTGTTTTCCTAACTTAAGGCCTTACAACAAGCATAAGCTTGAACCTAGATCATTACCTGGAACTTTTCTTGGTTACAGCTCAAAATACAAAGGGTTCAAGGTCCTTTTGCCTAATGGAAAAATCATTGTCTCTAGGGATGTAGTCTTTAATGAACACACATTCCCTTATCATAAACATACTGAAACCAAATATTCCAGTGATCAAACTTTTCCTCATATTGAACCTCCTCCTGTCCTTAACAAAACCCACACTGATTTTACTAAAACTCCTGTTTCCAATCAAGCCTCTGATCCTCAAAAGTCTCCTACACAAAACTCTTCACACTCTCATAATCCCTCTTACTCTCCTCATTTGCCTCAGCAATCTCACTCACCTGATTCCATATCCTCAGAACACTCTCATTCAAACACCACCATACCTCTTGTTGTTGAGTTGCCAATAGAAAGGGATAACTTATCTGTTTCTTTACCTAACAATGCAAATCAAGATGCAGGTCATCACATGATAACCAGGTCCAAAACTGGCAAGCTCAAACCCAAAGCTTACTTGGCTGAGAACCTGGATCTTCAAGAACCTAACAGTCATCAGCAAGCTCTCACTCATCCCAAGTGGAAGGCTGCCATGAACAATGAATTTCAAGCATTGATGTCCAATCACACATGGACCTTGGTACCTCAGCCCTCTCACAAACCCATCATTGGCTGCAAATGGGTTTTTAAACTCAAACATAATGCTGATGGATCTATAGCTCGATATAAGGCAAGGTTAGTTGCAAAAGGTTTCAATCAAACTGCTGGAATTGACTTCTCAGAAACATTTAGTCCTGTGGTGAAACCAACTACTATAAGAACTGTTCTATCTCTTTCTCTCACTTTCAATTGGAAAGTTAGGCAATTGGATATTAATAATGCCTTTCTTCATGGCAATATTGAAGAGGAACTATATATGCAACAACCTCCTGGATTTGAGTTCAATAGCAAAGCTAATCTTGTGTGCAAACTTCACAAATCACTCTATGGTCTCAAACAGGCACCTAGAGCATGGTTTGAGAAACTAAAACAGGTTCTTCAAGTCCTTGGCTTCACTCACTCCAGATCAGATAATTCTCTTTATGTCAAATATCATGGTGATCTAGTTATCTGGCTTCTAGTCTACATAGATGACATATTGGTCACAGGAAATAATGACAAGGAAGTTCAACATGTCATTGAGCAACTCAGCAAAAGCTTCCCTTTAAAAGATCTTGGAGAGATACATCATTTCTTGGGAATTGAAGTGGTTAAAACTGAGGATGGAGTGCATCTCTCTCAAGCCAAATACATTAGAGAACTCCTCAGTAAAGCAAATATGATTGAGGCAAAATCTGTTAACACCCCAATGCTTACTTCACCTGTGCTGTCCAAACAAGAAGGAACTCCCATTGAGAATGTTTCTGCTTACAGAAGTCTTGTTGGATCCTTACAGTATGCCACCATAACTAGACCTGACATTGCCTACAGTGTCAATAAAGTTTGTCAGTTCATGCAGACCCCCCTTGACACACATTTCAAAGCTGTTAAAAGAATCCTTCGTTTTCTTGCTGGCACTTCAACTCATGGGCTCAATTACACAAGGAATTCTAGTGTTGTACTGAGTGGTTTCTCAGATTCAGACTGAGGTGGAGACTTGGATGATAGAAAATCTATAACTGGTGTATGTGTTTTCCTTGGCAGAAATCCTATATCTTGGTGCTCTAAGAAACAAGCTTCAATCTCCAGATCCAGTACAGAAGCTGAATACAGAAGCTTAGCACATGCTGCAGCTGAATTGACTTGGATTCAATCTCTCCTTCATGAACTGCATGTCAAACTTCCTCATACTCCAACTGTGTGATAGATAATCTCAGCACAATCTCTCTTGCCAGCAATCCAGTGTTGCATGCTCGAACTAAACAAATTGAGATTGACCTTCACTTTGTTAGAGACCAAGTTGCAAATAAACTCATTAAAGTGCAGCATGTGCCTAGCCATGATCAAGTAGCTGATGTGCTGACCAAACCATTGTCTTTACAATTCTTCACCAGACTCAAACACATGCTTCAAGTTACCTCTGCACCTGCTTCAGAATTGAGGGGGGATGATAAAACAGTCACTTAGCTCTCTCATGCACTCTAATAGTAGTTAGTGCTTAATCCTAATTATTAGTGTTTTTAGTGCATGTATTTAATTTTCTGTTCTACCCGTAGGAATCTTTTCTGTTTCTCCTAGTACATAGTTGGCTGTCACAAGTTTGGTGTGCACCTGGTATGTGCAGATAATCCCCATGCACGTGGCACTAGCTTATTAGCTACAGGTCTAGGGTTTTCAGTAAGCCTCAGGCTATTTAATTGTTGTAAACCTCTCAGCAGCTATTCATGGAATACAATCAAATGACTTTCTTCTTCATGCTTTCCTTCTTACTCTTTTCATGCAAAATATGAAATCTCATCATAGTCTCCCTCTCATCTCTCGCACACCATGAGATAAAACTAAAGAAAAACCTATATATCCATCTCCCCTCAAAATGGTTCTTGAATCCAATCCTCATCTCTCGGCTAAGTTCTACGAGGTCATCGTGTAGGGGAAATTTCAGGCCGACCTCAGTTTGGTCGAGAAAAAAACGTATAGTAAGCTGGGGGAGGTTGGCAGTATGTGTCTCTGGCCCTAGTGATTCTGAGATCCTCAATAAGCCATTATCCAATCCAATCCTAACTGCAAAGAATATTGCTTCCTTTACAGAAGCTGGTTTACATTATGTACGTGCGTGCCTCTGTGTGTGTGTGTGTGCGGAATTTCGATTATTGTCTTGGATAGGTGAAAGTGAAGATGTTGGTCGTTTTATTTCTGGAAGCCAGGCTGATGATTCTTCTATCCATGCAGTTGCAAACTTATTTCCATGTGAGTTGTTTTGGTAATCTGACAATAAGCTTGGTGATTATCGATTTTACTAGCACAACAATAATATTTATATATAATTTCATTTTGATTGTTGAAAAATAGGGACATGGTGACAATCGGGTATCTTTCCAGTTAGATTGGGACCTTCCTTATTAGACATTAGACATGACCGCG